AAAGCATACCTAGTAATTGTATCATGATAATAATATTTAAAAAAATAAATAAATAAATATGATTTAAGTATATAAATGTCCAAACTGATCTACTGACACTTATCCACAGAATGATTTAACCTATTTTTCTTAAGTACTTAGAGAAGAAAAAAAAAAAAAAAAAAAGGTTGAATTGGCAAAGAACTCAGTTATATAGAAACAATAAATTGTCCATGACTTATTTACGTATAACCAATCGGAAACATGAATTTCCAAGTGTGATATGCTTGAAATTTTTCGCCTTTTTCCTCTTCTCCTAAAATAAATCCAACGATTATTTGAATTTAAACAAAGAAAAGAAATGAAATTTGCTGTAAGACTTCCATTGTTATTTTTGTGTTTGCTTATATTCATTCACTTTCTTGAAAATTAAGATGTCACTTCACTCTTTATAACTTATTAGGCTATTATTGATTATTTGGTTATTCTCGAAGAATTAATCACAAACTGAAAAAAATTATTCATAGAAGATGAAGAAGAAAAAGTTATGTAATTTATTGTTTAAATATATAAAAAAAATGTTCGAGTTAATTATAGTTTCATTTGAAGAGTAGTAAAGTAAAACCTGTATTTATTAAATATAAACAATGTATTATTTAGTTATTTTCTATTTTTAAATTTATCAGTTATGTATTATGTAATCCTGTTTATCTCATTTTTAATCCCATTATTTTATCCCATAAATATTTTTTTTTCTCTATTTCTCATGGACGAACACAGTAGCTTTCTAAAATTTCACGAAAATGTCAAGCTATTAATCTTTCTGTTCTACCTTGACATAAGGAAAATTAATTGTTCTATATTTTTATGCTTTGTTACTTTGTTTCTGTTTATTTATTTTCCTTAATTGAATTTTGTTTTAATGATTATCAAGCTTCTATACCAGTTTCTAGTCTGAGGACTTATCACACTTTTTGGGGAATGTTTTCACTTGGAAACCAAGAGAGCTTTCTTGGCTCTTGGTGTCAAAGTGAAAGAAGCCGATATAGAAGCTTTGTTATTATCATTTTCACGAACTGCCTAATGATACTTTTCTTTGAAAAAATTACACGGTTATTTAATTTATATATTAATACTTTTGTTAATAAGTTTTACCCATCGTCATCGATTCTGAAAAAAATTATTTGCATTGGATCTGTTTAAAACAATTTAATCATTGAGTTGCCACCACTCTCAAAAATATGTTTAAATTGCTTAAAGGATAACAATCGGGATGTGTTGAATTAACTCTATTTTTATCGCGTATGCTCGAAGTGTAACATAAGCTAACGCTGTGAGAAAATGTCAAGAACGACAATCGAAACGGTCGGATAAACTTGTCCTTTTCTAAACAGTGGTTCTCTGAATTTATTGGCATTTGTGCAATGGTTATAAACGCATTTAACATGTCTAAACTCATTAACTACCAATTAATTCAAATGCAACCACAACAAGTTCTGTTGGATAATGTGCCAAAACGCTGAAGTGATTTTGTGTTTTGATGGTCATTTATGTAATAAAACACAATCAATCAATGACAACACAAATGACAATCAACACAACTGGTTACAGTTGTGTTGATCGTTCAATCAAATTGAATGAAAAAGGCCTTCAATTTGTTCATGAGGAATGTCCAGTCAGACAGTGTATCATTTTGAAAACTATAAAAAACATCCGTTATTTTGGTTTCTAGTCTATTTCTGGAAATTTTTAAACTGATTTATACATTTTAAATCTTATAAGATACATAACTTTATATTCACATACGCTCTATTGTGGGCCCGGGCGAACCCACGATGGGTATAAGTAAAAGGCCGTCTTAATATCCATAGAGAAAAACTAAAATTATTTAAATATTGAAAATCAGATAAATTAAACCGGATTTACGAATACGAAACTGCATCATTCATTAAAAACAATACTGAGATTAGCAATACAGATCTGTATATAGCATATATCTACAATTACAATCTACTACAGAGAAAGACCTGAACCAAAACACAGATCAATTACGATGAAGTTCAAGACTCCGGTTCCAATTTTCCACGAAAAAATCACGAAGATAAAATGTTGGATTAATATGAAACAATATGTAACAGTTCGTATAATTTAATAATAATTATTTCTTAATACAAAAATGATTACTGTATATTATTAATTTACAGCTGAATGATAGGAGAAAGTCAACAGAGATTTAACATTCCTATTTGAATTTCATAATGATAATTTTCAAATATAATTGAATTATTTTCGTACTTAAAAATTCTAGTGTTTTGACTGTATCTTAATTGAAACACAATTCATAAAATAACATTTTTTATTCGTTTGTCTCCAGATTTCTTTTCGTTTGAAGGTAACAAAAAAGTCTATCAACGAGTTGCGTAACTTTCCCCTTTATCTCTCCATCCCCTTTAACCACCAAAATTTAATAGCATAAATTCCCGTAATATACAAACCACCCTGCAAAATTTCAGAAAGTTTCGACAAAAAGCATAGGAGTTTTTAAGCTTCAGAGTAAAAAAAATCGTGTTCCCCACACTAACACACACATACAGAAATCCATACATACATTGCTTCGTTATATATTGAAATTATTCAATATATTTATTATCGAATTGTTGAGTATTGTTTTAAATATTAAAGAAAGAGTAATTAAAAATACTTCTACAATATAATTAAATTTAAAATGTTACATAGATAAATATAATTCGAGAAAAATATTGTAAAACCGAACATTACTTACAAACACTTTTGGAAGGTCGAGTTTGTTCTTGGTGCTGTCAAGGTGATGATACAGTTAGAAATACAAGTTATATAA